AGCTGCTGTCTTTGACTCCAGTTCTATTCATTGTGTTTAATGTTGAGCTGCTTTAAAATGCACAAAGAAAACACACTTGTATATGTAATTTATTAGTTTGGCAACCAGACTTTTCTATGTTTAGTCTAACAGTCTTTCCTTGTGTACTAGTGAGCATGCTAGCATTTAACTCACAGACTCCTAATCACAGTTTTGCCAAAAAATGATATCGCCATACCTTTATTAATTTTTCAACACAACCAAACACTTGAGTTTCCAACAACAACAGCATATCGCTTGTCTCCAATGAGATTGTTTTTAGTCTTCAAATGTTATTCTCATTTAGGACTAGAAATCATATTTATTTTGACCTGTAAATACTACAACACGGCTGAAATGAAGGGATATGACATTTTAAAACTTAACGAGTACTGTTAAAGAGTACTAGTTAAAAGTCACTAAAATGTAGCACTTGAAATTCTTGGATAAATTGCGAAATTTAAAATCTCATTAAAGCATTAATAAATAACATCTAACAAAAAAAAGGCCAGCATGCAAAGCTACTAAATTACTTGGGGTAAACTAAATCAAGCTGCAGCTAAATACAGTACATCAGGCATTTCACAAGTCTACTCCTGATGTGTTATTTGGCAACATAAAGTCTGTACAGAATGAGGATAAGCATACATATTCTTTTATACAAAACAAACATGCTGTGAAACTGGAGAATATGAATCTGTGGTCCATCATTTCACCCCAAACCAGTTCATAGGAACGTCCTTTCAACAAGACAATCAGGAAATGCAATTTGCTTCATAGTGTATAGTGTGGGAGAGATATCACGTGTTTCCACGTTGACCTCAAAGCATCTGTACAGCTCCAGTGGACTGTCTCCAGTAATGCCAGTCAGCTTATCAACCAGTCACAGTGTCTCTTTAGATTTTTTTCCCCCACAGTCTCTTGAGTCAGTTAACAAGCTGTCAAATCTCCGTCAGCATGATCTTGAAGGCGTCTGCGTAGCTCTCGATGCTGAGGATGAAGGTGTCTTCGTTGGAGTAGTGCTCGATGATGTTATCGTCCATGTTCACCAGGATCCTGCCGCAAAAACAGCAAAAGTTTGATTTCGTGTGGAAAAAGTTCAAGCTCCAAGTTAGTTTCCTCTTCCTTTTGTTTGCCTCACTCACCCTTTCTTACTTTTCTTGTACACCTTGGCTATCCTCTCCGTCGGCACGCCATATTTCTCTGATATCTACCGATGAGAAAAAAAAAACAGAAAAGAAGCAAAAATAAAAAAGCAGCTTATGAACAGGCGCTCGGGCTGCAAACAAACTGTGCCTTTGACATTAGTTCCCACGTACAAACAGAGAGGCATCACTCACAGCATCCATCAGGCCTCTGAGCGTGGGAGACTTCAGCATCAGAGCGTCGAACACCTCGTCTGTCTCCTTTCTGACATACAGCAGCACTGCAGACAGGAGGGAGGAGAGCAGGCCACCTTTTAGTTTATATACATAATAATGTGCCTATGATTGGAGTGCACAGACGGAAGCACTTAGAGGTATTGTGTTTGTCAAACTAATCAGCAACCATTTATAAATCCTTTTACTACTTTTCATCTGATGTCAACAGTCCTTCGGGGCCACACAAACACATTTTGTTTTTGTGACATTTTACAGACTAAATAAGGGATCGGAAATCTGAAAAATGCAGTTTCATAACAGCCGGGAGGCTGCAAAAGGAGGTGGTGTGACTCAGTGAACCTTGCAAGGAATGAACTTTCAGTCTCACAGAAGAAGAAGAAGAAGTGCTTGGAAGAAATGGAAACGTAAGCATCTGTAAAGCTCCAGAACAGCTGCTAAATGTACCTCTATCTGCTAACATACAGAAGATTACCCGGTGAGACAAATCATAGATGCTTCTGAGAACGGTTTCATGTTGCTTATCCAAATAATCAGTTAAATCAAAATGATCGAATTGTTATTAAGCGTAAATAGTGCTGCTCGTGTTACGTATGATGGAAAATATCTGGATGGAAAAGGTTCTGGGCACGGTGTTTCCCTTTCTCGGGCCTGATTTGTTATAAATTGCATCGTTAATCATTAGAAATGTCAAACTCTCTTGCGTATTTCCCTGCTCTCCTTCCTGGACTTTGTCATTTCTAGAAAGTCACTTAAAGAAGACAGAAGAGATGACGTCCAGGTGTAGGAGAAGGCGGCCATGCTCGTACCTCTCTTGTGCGCCTCCTCTTTGATCTGCTTGTGAGGAGACGGGCACAGATCTTCATCTGACGACCTGAACATCCTCTTCACCACCACACTCCTGTAAACACAGAACAGCGTCAGGTCAAGCGCAAGCACGTCTTCTTTTTTCCATTGCGGTGATGTGCACTTCCCCTGCCTGAGGCTATCTTAAACTGCTTTCATTTGCATGACTTATATTTGTATGAAAACAGGAGTTTCGTGTTGACGCGTACTCACCCTTCTCTCTCAATCTCCTCTGTGTTGAAGGTAAACACCTGAAAAGGAAGCGTTAGGTATTAGTGGCAGAAATTAATCTTATTGAAAATATAAAAACACGCAGAAATAAATCTAAAAGTCTTTTCTATATTTCTGCACATATACGATTTACATGGCTCCTAAAAAAAACAGTTAAGCAAATGAGATGAGAATGTTTTGCTCGGTTGTTTTTGGAGAAACTTCTCGAGTAGTACAGATTTCTGTTGGGGTATGTATGTGAACCTTCTAAGATGACTTCACCCCGTGTTCGAGGTGACTCATCAGGTGTAATGCTCAGA